TGAAAAGTCATTTACCTCAAATAAATGTCTTAATAATACGTTGCCAAAAATTATATAAAATATTGGGATCGTGAGCTTCAAGTAAATTCGAACAAGAAATTTATTATAATTAGTCACTACCATAATGCGACATTGAAATACGATAAGTATACTAAATATTAGAAGTTATTAATATTATAGAATGTCGTTTTCTAAACGAAAAATAATTATAATAACTTATTAAATTACTAACAAGAAATTCTAGGACTAGGATACATATATCACCGTTAGAACCCACCACATCTGGTCATTACTATTTATCTTATACGGTTAGACCTCCCGTTTGGAGTTGCTAGCTACAACTACGTCTACCGGGACGAATTTTGGCGTTGATGTTAGTACCATTGAACATTACCTCTTCTTATAACGAGATGAATGACTTAAGCATGCCGTATTACGGAGCCAGTTCAAAAAGTGTAGTGTCACGAGTTCGGTTATAAATCATTGTATAATCCCGGAAATTCCTAACACTGTAAGAAAATCAGAATAGTATCCACTCAGGGATCAATTACCACACGATTCGGTTAAGAATTGAGGAAAGTAAGAGGATTTTACATTACTGATCTCCCATTGGTTTTCAAAATAACTTATATTATAATCAATAATAATGATTTATATACGACAATTTGGGCATCTAAAACCTTATTAATTACTAGTTCTTATATGATTTACGCGACAATAAAATAAAAACTCCCGAGGTGAAAATTGGTCATTTTTATGTCATGTAAAAGATAAAAATTCTCATTTTATTATACTTATCTCTTTACATAAAAATATATTATTATATATGGGGTCAAAACCTGTAGATCTCACCAAAAAACTTGTTGACGCATTTTGACATGTATTCTCAGGAAATTAAGGCAGGAAATCCACGCGAGGAGTATGGAACCATCAACTTGTGTTTTTGTTATAAATTATGTTTTATGTCCTCTTTTTACGTCAATGTGGATTTGTAGTGAATAATGTAATAAAGTAAGATATAATTATATTGTACGTAGTGAAAAACTTTAAGTGGTTGCTTTAATGTTTAATATATGCTATGTTTATGATATTCGATTAACATCACTCGCCCGACGATTCCCCCGTCGGCTGGGGTGTGATAGATTGGTATCAGAGTATTAGCTATAGCGAACCGGTATTTCTCGTAGGATATGCAACTATAGCCTAGGGTAAGACTTCTCTGATAAAGGCTTAGTCCTCTAAATCTATAAATACACATATGTTAATATTAAGTAATAATACATGTCAAAACAAAGTAAGGAAGTCATACTATAAAAACCATAACACATAGCAATCGATAAAATGAACTCCAAACTCGAAATTTTAGATCAAGTACTTAACTAAATATTCATAGTATATATGTCGTGCTATATCTAAACCTAGCTTGCGCACCTAAGTTTTATTATGGGCCAATCGTATGCATCGTTTAACTTAAGTATAGTAGGTGATATATATATATATTTTTTTGAGATTTATGGGTCATAAGGTAAAATATGTGTCTTTATTTAAAAAGTATACGTGTATATGAAAATATGATTAAATTCTTAATTATCAAATTATATATATATATATATATATATATATATATATATATATATATATATATATATATATATATATATTAAAGTTGTGGAGGAAAAGAACAGTAAAATTGGCATACTTTGTCCACGTTAGGTCCCTTGATTTACATATCTGGTCCCTCTACTTCTTTAATTAATTTATATCATATCCATTTCTTTGTCTTCCATTCCATTACTTTAATTTATTAGTCGCTGTTGTCGGTCCGAAACGAAATCACGACGGGCGATGAAGACGACGATCGACCGGCTTCTGATATTGACTCTGAGTCGGGATCGGAGTCGGGGTCGGGGGATTTCAGTGTGTTCTTCAGACGATGTAAGTCTTTCGCTTCCCACTTCCTCGATTGAGCGTCGTGTAGCTCGCAGTCTCCTCGGAGAAGGAGTTTTGGGTAAGTCTCCTTCTTCTACCTGCGTCGCCGTCGACGGTGCTTCTGCTGCTTCCATCCGCCACCGAGGACTTCTGTCTATGTTCCTTCTTCATTAACTACCATCGCTGTTGGCGCAAAGGCTTTTGGGTATCAGCTATTTCAGGTACAGATCAAATCGAACCTTTAATTTAACTGTTCTTCTGATTCTGATTCTGATTAGGGTTCAATCTGTTTCTACTTCCATTTGATTTCATTTCGTTTTCTATGGCGATTATTACCACCAGGCCACTGGAACCAGCGATTGACACCAGATATCAAAAACCACTGCTTTCTGTCGGAGTTCATACCTAACTTCATCGGTGGCGGTGGAGTCTCTATCCGAAAGGATTGAAGAAACAATTTCATGTTCTCAGCATCATTAGGTATTATCGATTTCACCTTCTTCTCTGTCATCTTCTCATTTTCTCAGCAAATAATTTTTTTTTTCAAATTGTTGCTGCGATTTCTTTTATTTTTTTGGATGGATTCTTTTTGAGTTTTGACATTAACGAATTGTGGATGTTAACTATTTTAGTATCAGTGATACAAACCTTACATTACATACAAGGTGTCCATATATATGTATCCTGTTTCTTTTTACTACATGTGCTAATGAAGAGGGATGTGACCCTGTATGGAATGGAGAGTTTACTGTCTTCCTTTATGATCCTAAGCATCCAATATAGCTGCTGGTAAGATCTTATTGAGCATGGAGTAGTTTATATTGCAAATGAGGAAACAATAATTAAATTATTCAAGAAAGTCTAGATATTAGAAAAATTTATAGCCTAACAAGATCAGGGTAACATCATAAAGACTATAGATTTTAGAAAAATAATTTGAGAATTGTAGTCTTGATTTTGTTTTGTTACTTTAAAGTTTAAACTGTTCTTATAGGCATGCGGGTGGTTATTGATTATAGATCAAATTAGACAAATAATCAGAAGCAATATTTAAGGTAGATGATGGTGGTGGTGAGTGGTGGTTGGTGGTGGTGGTATGAATGATATCCCCATGTAACAGTTATTCAAGCTTGAAGATCATAGGAAGCGAATAGTTGTACGTTTTGATAATTTTCTTGAATGTTAATTATCTATTATGTCTCATCGGTTTTTAATTTTTTCACACAGAAAAAGGAAGCATTCACATCGGGAACCCCTGCATTGATCTAAAGCTGTTAAATTCAATCACAATTATTTCATATGCCTGTGTTTCTTCATTGTATGGTGTTCAAATGATTCTTTTTAATTTCATATTTTGGTATTTCTAAATAAGAGTACCGGCTCGCGGCTGTTCATCATATGAATCCATATATATTAAAGATCTGAAGAATTTTAAAGATTTTCATTGTATTGTTTTTTCTATTTAAAGATTTTCTTATGAATTAGAATTTTATTTCGTTTTGCATGCCATGTGTTCGATGAAATGTTTGATTCGAGAGCCAGAGGAAGCAATGCTTAAACATGAAGTAGCAAGAAGGGTAGTTGAGGTATGAATTCAATTCCCCCTTATTTGATCATCAAAAGCAATATCTAAGGTTAATGTAACACTTTTCCTCAATGTTAATACTTTTTTTTGGTAGCATATCTAAGGGTAGTGCCTTTCTCTATTAATTCGCTTTTATATGTATTAGGTAAAAACAAAACACCAATATATAGCTTATCAGATTAAGTCTCTTATGTTTATATGAACCACTTAAAAGAAAATATTGCAGTTAGTTCTTGGGGATATATTGTTTCAATTTGCAAACAAGTTTCATCCATTGTCTATATTCATGAAATTTGATTATGTTTATATTTTCTTCATATTCAGGTAACTCTGGGAAGTTTGCAACATATATCTTTTTTTATTATATATTTTGGATTCTTTTCTAAATTTCCCTTTAATATACTATATTTATGTTAAACGCTTGATAGTTAATTATTTGATTCTTGCGTCATCTGTTAGATGTGGCCACCACCGGAGAATGAAGAGTACCCGACAACCGATTCAGGAATGATAAACAAAAGGGGAAAAAGAAAGGTTCTACAAAACCAAACGGTCAGTAAAAAAATGATTTATGCAGGTTTTATTATTTTATTTTAATATTTGGTTGTAGTTTAGATACAAAGCAGCAGATTATTAGTAGATTGTTGACTGTCACCATCACAAAATTGTGAACACGCAATCAGAAGTTTTTTCCAAAAAAAAAAGTTACATCAAATTAATCAGGTTCATTTTATTAATATAAAAAGTGTGCAGGGGCAATATGGTCCTAAAAATGTAAAAATTGTTTTTTTAACATTAAAACATTATTCAGGGGAATATAGTCCTAAAACTATAAAAATTGATTTTTATTTATATAAAAATACTAAAAATTTGCCATTTTTCTGACCTTTGTTGATATTGATACATTCAAATTTGTTAGTTGGGTTTTGCAGATCACAATTTTATACGAAGGTCACTCCCTTATTTCATTAGGATAGAAACCAGAAGGAATTCAAATTTTGAAGTTGGAATCAGCATACACCAGATTGATGTATGGTGATTTTTTGTTGTACTATTATGCAATTTTTTGAAATTGTTGTCATTTATGTTTTTTTAGGCACTGATCATTTCTAATGTTATTTTAAAGCACGCCGTCTCAACATTTTGTAAGCATAAAATATTTTTTGAAATAACTAAAAGTTTTCCTAACTATAGCATTGTACTTCAAAAGTATAATGCTATAACAGAAAACCGACACCTTCCGTCCCGCGCAACGCGCGGGTTACCATCTAGTATATATATATATATATATATATATATATATATATATATATATATATATATATAGATTGGTACTTGGAGGAACAAGGATGGAGTCCCGTGCTCACCCCCTCTTCTAGCCGAAGACCCCTACTATGCTGACCGAGAGACAAGATATCAACTGGTCGCATCATAGGACTCCTCAGAGGAAGAAGAGTCTGTGGAGTAACCATCTGATGGTGAGGAAATGGAAGCGAAACCGGAGGAGACTGATCCTAATAAACACGATGAGACCGTAGAAGATAGCGAGACCATGGAGGCTGAAGTGGTTCTTCCTCCCAGGCCCACACCTTCAAGCCCTTACAAAGACATCCTGAGAAAGGCTGGGAAAACTTACCAAACAGCTAGGATAACCACTCTTAACTCTAGAGGGATTCAGAATCCCCGACATGGATTATCCAAGGGCATGAGGAGGGGTTTAAGAGATCCTAATTGGATCACTGCATTCGAAGAGGATGCGATCTATGGTGGAAGAATCACCACCCGATACGAGGACGGGCAAAGCTCAGGAGTGTGTCCTCCTCCCGGTGATTATTGTGGATCTTTGGCCCTGTTATTTAACCATACCCTAAAACTGGAAAAGCAAGTAAGATTGGTGTCAAGAGAAATCAAAGAACGTGAAAACAACACTACTCACGTATCATGGATAGCAGGAAGATTGGAGACCCAGCTGACCCAACATCAAAATACATTGATGGAGATGCGTGGATTACTGGACACGCAGATTGCTGCCAGGATTCAACAAAATACCCACATGATGGAAGTTGATCTTCAAGCTCAGGCAAACCTTATCATGGTGGGAGCCAGTGAAGAGGAAATAATGGCCATTAATGGGAGGTTGGATGCGATCGGGATGCAGCTTGTTGAGATCACAAGGGCATTGAATACCTACCAACGATTTGGATGAGTGGAAGGAGTCAGTCAATGACTAGGACGGATGGGAGTATTGTATAGCCTGTCTGATGTAGTGGTAGAAGAACACCTAGGATTAACTATGGAAGATATGGAATGTAATCTTTGTATGATCAAGATTTTGGGAATGGATGATATAGCAGGTGTATGTAAGTCCTTGCAAATTTTGGGCTTTTGGGCCATTTATGTAATAATTGGTAGAATCATTATTTCCCAAAAACCTTGAAAAATTATTATAATGATGGATGTAATCGTGCAATGTTAAATATAATGAAGCCTATTATGTATTATGTTGGTGTTAAACGAATGCTTGAAATTTTTTTATTAGTGACGTTTAGTGATTAATGTTATGGTTACAATGAAATGCATAAAAATCAAATAGTGTAATATTGAAATTAACGTATAATAATGCAACCGAATCATGTCCCACTTCTAAATGTAATAGGTTAACCATCATGCCACCATGAAGAAGAAGCACTAGGTTGCACCCTAACCTAACGTCTGTTCCAGAAAGAATACTTGGCAGACCCAGGAGAGTACGATCAAGGCCAACAGAAACCTCAGTCACACTTGAAGCAGGTCTACCTACAACCATGGTAGAATTAGAACAATTGATATTCGATCAACTCGCGATTGCGCTAGCACAACCGAAAATTGTTCGCAATGCCACCTTTGGAGCTGGTAATGGTGGAAATGTTAATGGGCAAGGTAGCAGCTCTCAAGGAGATGTTAGAGGACCACAACGAGCGCGTAGCTATAGAAACTTCACTAACTGTAAAGTCCGATTTGATGTGAGTATGTTTATGGACTCAGCCCTCACTTGGTGGAACGACCAAGTAAAAACTATAGGCATAATTCCTGCGAACTCCTTGACATGGGAAGAAATGAAAATAATGTTGAAAGAAGAATATTGCCTGAGAGATGAGCTTCGAGCGCTGGAGCAAGAATTATGGAATTTGAAAATGAAAGGCCTTGACATCAACGCTTACACAACCAGGTTTAATGACCTCGCTCTATTATGTCCGACTCTAGTGACCCTAGAATACAAAAAGATAGAGTGTTTTGTTTGGGGTCTGGTGCCACAAATAAGGGGAACAGTGTTGGGTTCCCGATCAACAACTTACAAATGTTTTAGGAATTTGGCAAGCCGTTTAGTTAAGAACGAGCTCAGTCCGGGAACTCTGAATACTAAGATTGAAACTCCCAAGCCCGAAAACAACAAACACAAGACTGGAGGTAGAGACTTTAATCACACATCAAGGAAGAAACAAGGGACTGGATCTATGTACGAAGCAACTACGAACACCAATCCAATACCAGTTTCACGGCCAAACAATGTTGGTCAATACCCGCAATGCAACAAATGTCTCAAACATCACCCTGGTGAATGTTATTTTTGCACCAAATGCACAAAGTTTGGACACACGGTTAATTATTGCAAAAGCACAGTGTCGATTATGGGGAGCACTCATATGAATACATGACTGAGTGGAAATAGTGGTATGAACTGTTACGAATGTGGTGTACCGGGACATTTCAAACGTGAATGCCTAAAATTGAAAAATGTTGGTGAAAGGGTTCATGGACGGGTGTTTGCTATTGGAAACAAGGAGGCTATTCAAGATCCCTCAGTAGTCACCAGTACATTTCTTATCAACAACATGTACGCTACTATTTTATTTGACTCCGAAGCTGATAAGAGTTTTATAACACCGACATTTAAACAATTATTGAACCACGAATCCAAAAAATTATATGTAGCATATAAGGTAGAAGTAGTAAATGGCCAAATAGAAAAAACCACTAAAATTCTAATAAATTGCCTTCTAACTCTAAACGACCACACAATTCGAGGTGATCTTATGCCAATGCCAATCGGGAGTTTCGACGTCATCATTGGCATGGATTGGCTGTCTCCTCACCATGCAAAAATCATGTGCTACGAGAAAGCTGTGCGGATAAACTTACCTGACGGGGAAAGTTTAACCATCTATGGTGACAAGTCAGGTCAAAACCTCAAGCTTATGTCTTGTACGGAAGCTTGAAAATATCTACATAAGAAATATTATGCTTTCTTGGCTCATATAGTGGATAAGAAGACTAAAGTAAAAGAAATAAAGGACATACCTCAAGTATGCAATTATCCTGACGTTTTCCCAGAAGATTTATCGAGGCTACCACCGAACCGACAGGTCAAATTTAGGATTGTCCTAATTCCCGGGGATGCACCAGTAGCCAAAGCACACTACATATTGGCTCCGTCTGAGAAGCGGGAACTCTCGAGTCAACTACAAGAACTTCTAGACAGGGGCTTCATTAGGCCAAGTTTTTCACCCTGGGGAGCGCCAGTATTATTTGTCAAAAGAAAGACGGTACTTTTAGAATCTGCATCGACTATATGGAATGGAATAAACTAACCATCAAGAACCGGTAACCGCTTCCTAGAAACGATGATTTGTTTGATCAACTTCAACGATCTACCTACTAGTCAAAAATAGATTTAAGATCGGGGTATCATCAGCTCGAGATACAAGAAGAAGATGTTATGAAGAGTACATTTACGACTTGGTACGGTCAATATGAGTTCATGGTCATGCCTTTTGAATTGACCAATGCCCTAACAATATTCATGGATCTCATGAATCGAGTCTACAAACCATATTTGGACAAGTTTGTAATAGTATTTATTGATGATATTCTGATCTACTCACATACTAAGGAAGAACATGGCCAGCACTTGCGACGGATATTAGAACTATTGATAAAAAGAAAAGTTGTATTCCAAATTCTCCAAGTGCAAATTTTGGATCAGGCAAGTACACTTTTTGGGACACATGGTGAGCAATAAAGGAATTCATGTAGACCCCGCACAAATCGAAGCGGTCAAGTATTGGGAGGCACCAAAAACGCCAAAAGAAGTGTGCCAGTTCCTAGACCTTGCACGGTACTACCGTAGATTTATTGACAATTTCTCAAGAATCGCAAAGCCTCCCACTGCTCTAACACAAAAAGACAGGAAATTTTAATGGGGAGATACGTAGGAAACTGCATTCCAAAAGTTGAAGCAAATGTTGTCTAGTGCACCAATTTTATCCTTGTCTGAAGGAACAGAGGTTTTTGTCGTATATTTTGATGTGTCAATTCAAGGACTGGGGTGTGTATAAATGGAGAGAACAAAGTAATCGCCTATTCCAGACGACAGCTCAAGACCCATGAAAACAATTACACGACTCAATATCTTGAGTTAGGAGCGGTAGTTTTTGCATTAAAGATATGGAGCCATTATTTATACGACACGAAGTGCATTATTTACACTGATCATAAGAGCCTTCAACATATCTTTGACCATAAAGAATTAAATATGAAACTGTTGGATTAGGTGTCTAAGTCCGTGACTATAATTGGTATGTACTTGACCCGAGAGTAGCATGGTCCATTTCAGGTTGCATTCACCAGGGCAACTTGATAGGATGGATATTTGAGAAAGAGGTTATTTGTGATTTATTAATATATTATAAGTATAATATATTAATTGAGAAATCATATTATTTAATTAGTATTGATCAAGAATTAATTTGGAACTAATTTAGTGATCAAAAGAGACTAATTAAATTAACGGGGACTGATTATGTAAATCAGTGATACATATGGTTTGGGCTATTTATCCATGATGGACTAAGTTTATGTGATAGTCCATGAAGAGTTAGTGCATAAGAATTATTGGATCATAAGCCTAAGTGTAAGAATTAGGGTTTACATATGACTCTTGGAATTCTACACTATATATGTATTTCCCTAAGCCTAAAATCGAACCTATGAGTTCAAAGGAAGACCTAGCCGATGTTGTGTCTCCAAACCTATCTCTCATACTCATCCAATTGTTCATGGTGTGTTGTTAACCGTTTGAGGCATCAAACTTGGGGTGCTTAGCTCTTGAAAGGCCATATATCACATGCTACAACTAAGAGGTATTCTTCTAATTAGTTTTTGTGTTTCAGATATCTATGTTGTATGCTAGTTATAGGTTTCATGCTTTGGATAATTTTTGTTGCATGTATAACTAGAGAAAACTTAGATCCAAAGCATTAGGGTTGTATGTGCACCATAGGAGTGTTGTAGTACATAAAACCCAACAGTGGTATCAGAGCCATTGGTGTTTTCTGTTATTTGATGCAATTGTTGTTTGTTCAAAGCTGGAAAAAAATCATTTTTTTGGACTCTGCCTGATCACCACGAGGTGGTGACGGGTCTGGCAGATTTTTCGGATTTCTTGGCTTAGTTTGGATTTGGATAATTACTATAAGTTGTTTTGTTTCTCAAAATTCAATTTTTATTTTATGAAAATAATTATCCTCATCTAAATTAAAAGATAAATTGTCAAATTACAAAATAATTACTAGATTATATGATAAACTAATTATTGTATTATTTGATTTATCTTGCTAAATGAATTGTAATTAGGTCAAATTGGTAATAAATAATATGATTATTTTATTGGTTAAAATTTTATCTAAACGTTTTTGAAGAGTTACAAAACTTGCCATCAAGTTTTGGAACTCAAAAAGTTTTTTTAAGGAGTTACAGAGCCTGCCATCAAGTTTGGAATTCAAAAGGTTTTCAAGAGTTACAAAAGTTACCCTCTAGTTTTGGAACTTAAAAAGTCTCCTTTATGAAACATTAACTCTATTAATTGAAAGGTTGCAAAAGGTGCAACTCTTGGGTTCATAATTTAAAAATTAATTAAATAGTTTTTAATTTTGAATTTTTTTTATATTTAGAACCTTGATGTTTTTGAATAGTTCATTTACACTCTTGTGGATTCTATTAAGTTAATTAAATGTTTAATTAAGAGAGTTTTATTAAATCCATAATCATATGGTTGAAAATTAATTAAATTAAGAGTATAATTTATTAATAGATTCAACCACCTAGTATTTTAAAAGTTTAAAACACGCCCATATACTATATAAAATTAAAAGTTTAATATATTATATA